AACAATGGAATCCCCCAGGATTCTCCTCTACAGAGCTGCCCGAGTAGCAATCAAACGGCCTGACGAAAGCCTCTTGACCACGGAAGGCGAAGAACACCAAATTCTGTACATTACACAGGATGGCTCGATCGGCGGAACAGGTGGCGTTGCTGCTCTCTTGATGCGACCAGAAATGTCAACTGAGCGCAGTGAAATAATACACTGCTCTATTTATCCCACCTGCAATTATGCATGGACATTCAGGACTAGTTTTAGCAAATTGTGAGTGTGCCCTCCTGAGCCGGATGACAAGTCTGACCTGAAGCAGTCAGGTGGTATTCACATGTCCATGGCAGCTATTCGCTCAGCTGCTTTGGCCTGCATCCAGTGATATACCTCAATATACAGTAACAGCCAGCTTTTCTAGTCCTCCTGGTGAGGTGGACGTGAGGATAGGCCCATCCGGCTGGGTACTCAGCAGGGCGACTCAGACTCTTATCGCTAACCAGGGTTCACCTATCATTTGCTCTTTCGAGATCGATAATATCAGAGATCACAATCTGATTATCATTTTCCAACCCGAGAACAGGATGCTAGCTCCTGTGCTGTCCCAGGCATCCCCAAGATCAGTCGCCGAATGCGATACGCTGGTGGCACAGCCAATTCCGTACTACATCAGCGAAACCTTTAGCCCTAGCAGCAGACTACCAGACGAAACCACGATGGCAGAGCTCAACTCATCCGGCAGTCATGTGGAGTCGGCAGTTGACGACAGAATCAACACTGCCTATTCAGGCTAAGCGGGAACTTGTATAGACATCTATACCTCACTTCGAAGCAACGCTATCTCTGGATTTCTCTCACAACTCGACCGACCAGGTGACCGTTCTCGCCCATACTGCTCTCCATACGCAGACAACTCCAGCTCAGCTTCGGACTCAACGCTCAACATAAGCCCCGATCTACGAAACGCGCAGTATATCACCACGACTAGCCTCGAAACCCAGGAGAATATCATTGATGATCAATGCATTGTCGTCAAACCTCTGTGATCCGATGAGCCACGCGAATGGCTTGCTGTGAAGAGCTCTAATCAGCTAGCCACGGACCAGGGTATGTTTTTAGAAGTCGTATAGGCTAAAGAAATCTGTTTAAGTTACTGCGGTGTGGAAAGTGAGAGGTGATCTGGGGTTACTACACAGAATAATCTAATTATATATTACGTCCAAAGTATCGCATTTTCTGCCTGGGGCTGAACTCTACATAATGATGTGTCTTCAGTTGATCAAAATCGCCCTCCGTCTTTTCTGGTGAAGCCAATTCCAATCCATCTCCTCGTGCTGAAACTTGAAGTAACCCAGTCTCCTTGACGTGTTGCTACCGTCACAAGTGAGGACGATCCCATAAGATTGGCCGGTAGGTTTTACACTCGATCGGATTTCCAAACACCTCATCTTTTGCGGCCTTGGTGGTAATGGCTCATCCCAGACCACTTTTATTGGCCATGGAGAATACTGTTCCCATTGATGGTATTTAGTATCTGCATGGTGTATTCCAGAGGGTGACCGACTTCTGCTTCTGGCAGCTGGCCCTGAGGCCGCACGCCATGCTCTGTCTGCCTCGTCACGAGACGTGGCTGGGACCATTTTTCGTCCATCCCAGAAAGTGTCCAAAACATATCCCTTTACAGTTAATTGCCTCCCTCTAACACAGCTGACAACTTCCAAGGTATAATCATCCCAGTTGATATGGTTTAGATCAAGCCAGGTAATTGGTGATCGTATCTTAGCCCACGACCATGACGGCGTTAGTGTCGTGTCTGAAGGACTGCTAGTTGTACCGTTATTCTCATAATGGCAATCGCGGCACCATAGAAGTTGTCTCGGCATATCTCTCATCCATAACCCGGCTTTGTACTCCGACAGATCCCAGCCTATAGTCTTCGCCATGATTGGGGGGGCAATGCAATCAAAGGGGAGCAACTTATCAGCTAATCTCCCAGTTTGACGCGCAGAGTAATCAATAACTAGCTTGAACCAGTTTGCCAGATGCATTTCAGGGTCATCAACTCCAGTGTTTCGGAGCATGAACCTCGAACCATCAAAGGGGGAAGTGCTGAAGCAGATCTCATCTGAGCTTGATAGCTCATCAACGTCGCTATCTGCAAGCTTCGTCTTCTGGCATTTCCATGGAACTCGTTCGGACTCGAAGCGCAAAATGCATAACGCGTTCTTAGCTTCGGGGAACGTCCACGCCCTTTCATCCATCGGCTCTGGCTTCTTGTCAAATGCTCGTTCTAAAAGGCTAAGACGGTGATCTGTTGTCGTGTCTCCATCCTTCAGAGCAATAGGGAGCTCATACTCGCGATACGACAGATCTCGGGGTGCCAAGAACCCGGCATTACTGTGTGACGCAGAGGCGGCCCCTATAACAATGGTCCCACGGGCGTAGAACTCGTGCGCGATGCGCACCTCGTTCTGAATAATCTGGTCATCTTGGTCCTGAAGGATACAGAGTACATCTACCCAAAGATGTCGTAAACCGAGAGCTAGAGTAACCTCTATGGCATCTCGAATTGTCTTGGGGAGATTCTCAAGAGGGAATCCAGCCAGGTGATCCTGTATATTTTTCGAGGTTGTTTTGTAATGCGGCTTTTTACCCCAACGGTAACTCAAGATAGTAAAGTCCGTCATCTTTCCCAGCTCTACTAAGCGAACTTGCCCATCACCATAGGAACCCAGATCGAGCAGGTACCTCGGCTGCCTGAGAGATTGCGCCTGCTGCCTGTATTTGTTACATCGAGCATGATTCTTTCGACAGTTTTGTAGACAGTTCCGTATCCAGTGTACGTTGTCTTCGGAAAATGGATGTTGGTTCGGCGGTCGAGTTCGGACGAGATCCTTCATGCCGTCTTGTTCTATTATATCAGCGGACTGTTTCTGCGAGGGATAGCAACACACCCACCTATCTTTGTGAACACGAGTAGGCTGTCTTCAGTAACGGGGTTCCAAGATCCACCAGGCCATTGCCAATCGCAATAAGCCACACAACACCCATTATTAAGGGAAGTCGTAATATACAGCGAGACTTCTATCCAGTCAACTGGATCCCACGGCAGACAGTCGTCATCAGGGTACATCCACAACATATATGACCAAAGGCGTTCCAAGCGCTCCAAGAGGAAATCGCATCCGTTGATGGCGGACTCGACCACTTCAAAGAACGGCAAGGTGATCAACGTGTCATACTCCACATTAACTTCTAGCTCAAGTCGAGGGCACATGTTACAAGAATGAACCTGACGCTGAGAATAATCCATTATATAGTGGTAGAGTTGAGGTTCGGTAAAAATTTTCAACGATGTGAATGGTTGAGATTGCTAACTGAGGTATGAGTGCTGGCTAGAGTAGTTGAGTGGATGAAAAGAAGGAAAATTAAGCAGAGCACTGCGACGCGACGCAACATGACGCGACTTTTAGGCAACAGGCTGTTGGGCTGAGTAATACCGGAAGAAAGAATCTCCGTATCAGCAGAACAAAGGGCTTAAAGAGAGGTATCCCAAAAGCCAAGCTGAGATGCTACGGTGCAAAACTGATCCTCAGCGCATCATCTAGCCACCTGCCGCTTTCGTTGATAAATTGTTTCAAACTCCTAATTCCGTTAGCCTTTAAACTATCAACATATGGATAACATTACCTTTACGGAATCAAAGAATCTCGCAATAGCTTCATCGCCTCCGAGCTCTTCTACTCTACCACATTTAACCCGCGTTGTGACAAGCCTTGCTACCGCCTGAACGTACGTAGGTACACTACGATTCATGTCTTCGTTGGTGACCTTTGGGTTTCGTACTTCTTCGATGACGACTTGCAGCCATCGTTCAACAGACGACCACTGGAGGATGTGACCTCCAAGGGCTAAAGTTTGCTCACCACGTACCCGGAAAACAAGGTGAATTGTGCCCGGATTGAAGAAAACCGTCTGACCAGGCCTGAGAATGACATATCGCCACCGGCCCCTGGTATAGCCTTGCGGGTCAACCATCCAATCATTCCATTCTTGACGCGTTGGGCGTGACATCCAACCAAAGCCGAAGTGTCCTTCTTGGGCGGTGATCCACGTCCCGAGCCCGTGGCTGTCAATATGTGGCGCTGTGTTGTGGCCACCTTCTGATAAAAGCGCCCATTCAAGAACGTCTCTCCACAGGGAGAAGTTGACAGTTTTCCCCAGTCAAGAAGGCAGGCAAAATGGAGGGAGGGAGTGGACTGCGCAGGTCAAGAATGTTCCAGGGGTCATCGGTTTCTAACTTGTTTAGAAACCGGTTTCTGACCTGACTGAGTTTCTGGCTTTCGAATGACCTGAGCGAGGAGCTGCGAGAGGGGACCTGCACCGAGACAGATCGGTCAAGATCTTCCATACAGCGGAAGAGCTCCTCAATTGGACGGTCTCGACCATTCCATCGAAACTACTGCTGGCTTTCTGTAAAAATTGGTACATCAGGGGATCCTGACTCAACCCGGCTTGTCGCCTCGCCTGCGGTACAAAAGACTGCCTCAACTTCGCCACAACTCTCGTCTGTTTGAGGTTGCTGGGCGTTTCGGAGAATGTTGTAGACCAGTTTGTCGGCTTCTTCACCGTGTGTGTTGAGGAATGACCTGCTTCGTGCCAGCTTCTGCTGTAAATCAGCGAGCACTTGCTTGTAGTAGGCGTCGTCAGCCACCTGTTCATGTAATTGCCGGTGCTCCGTGTCTCTTGACCCGGTCCAGTGTGTGTGTGAGGCACCAAGTCGCGGTCTCTTAAGGAGATAAATAGGCTGGTTGATGTCGGGGAGGGAGGCGGTGCGCCGGCGAGGGTGTGAGATTTTTATGGAATCAGAGGGATTGGCCGGTGGCGTTACGTTTAAGTTGTATTGATCGGGGGCTATTGCGGACTTGGCGAAGAGCTGAAGATGTCGGTGACAAAGTCGATCGAGGTTGGACGAGTATATCCTCGCCAGGTCCGCGGAGAAGGCCAAGGGGTTGTCAAGAGCTGCAAGGAACATTGATGGCACTTCTGGCGGACAGCAGCGTTGTGGTATCCTTGGGGTAGTAACTGATCTGGCGGTAGCGTACCTATTCTTCGACATTGGTTTTCCACTAGACGTTTCTCGATAGGATGACTGTGTCCGTGGCCGGAGCGCTCTCTCGGTTTGTGATGGATCCTCCTGTGTTGCTGCTGCTGCTGCTGCCTCCGGGTTACTGGTATTTGCTGCGGCATCGGCTGATTGGTCGGCAAGGAACTCGTCAACAAACTCGCTCACAATGTCGCGCTTTGTGGTAGCTTCCGGCACGTCTGAAGAATGTGTATCGTCTTTGGCTGATGCAACGGCGTACTCCTTCCCAACCATGAGTCCAAATTTGTCGAAGCCAAACCCCTGGGGCAGGTCTGTAATTGCCAGTTTTTGGAATAGAAGGGAATACTGGCCATGGCCGTTCTGTTTCATATAGGCCTGTTTGTATGACCATGCCTTGAGAGTGTACAAATCTCCCTGCTCGATTGGACTTGCTACCGGTTTAACGAGGCGAGCCCCAACACGTTGGTGTCGTCCAAGCATCACCCGGTTCAACTTTATCACAGCCTCGGTCCATTCGGGAACAGCTCGGGCTGCCGTGCACAGCACCTTGCAGTACTTCTCTCCTCTAGAAGCCCAATGGTAGTGCTGGACCTTGTCTCGTCCCCAGCAACGGCTCACCTCCATTAAGGCCGACAGGCACTTGTGCCTGATCTCCATTCCTTCGGTCGCGACGCCCACAAAACGCTCCCATACTAAGATATCGTCCTCTCGGAGCTTTGACGGTCGGCTGCGCACTCTGTTTTCCCTCCAAGTATGATACTCAGCGCACTCGGCAAACATAACCTGGTCGAATGCAGCGATCAGGAACTGCAGGCTTGAGTGCTGACCGAGTAAATCGTCTCGTGTCTGGAGGCATAGCTTATATTTTGCCGTGTCGTTCTGACAAAGGCGGATCTCGTGGAGAAAGCGGTCGATTTGCTCGGCTTGGTCGGCGTTGAGCACCAAGTCATTATCGCTGATGGTGGTCGTTTTAAGAGGGGGTTCAAGCGGCTGTTCGGCGCCAGTCGGTCGTTGATATGATTCGGGTAGGTCATGTCGTGTGCCTGCGGAAGGATCGTCCTCAGTAATAATAGCCATTACGGAGGCTTTCGTGAGACTCCTCGACGGTCGGCTACGGCAGGAGTAGAAGCAAGGCTCCTCCATCTGCCAGCCTTGGGCCAATGACCCACAATGCCAGGTCAAAATGTGACTTCACATTGTGGGTCTTTTGCCCTACCTGGCTTGGCCAATCATGTAGATGCCTTGGTCCCTCGCTGACATGCAAAAAATCCCCGACGCGTCTTGACGCGCCTTGGTTTCTGAGGCATCCAACCCTTTTACCTTTTTACAGCTTGAATCCTCGAATTTACCTACCACTCTGATCATCTATTCACGCGAGAATTTCAGACTGCCAAACCACTTTCCTCCTTTCAACAAGATGATTCGGTTTAGAAGCCGTGATCATTTACCCGGAGCCTCGGCTCTAAGCAAGGCTTACAAGCAGCGCGAGACGTCTCTACAGTCACAGGAAACAAATCGACGCCGTCTTCATAGTCCCGCGGTTGTCACGGTCCGTTGTTATACTTTTCGCCTTTCCAACCATTAGGCTAATTTAAGATATGGTCACGACGATGCAAGAAATCCAGACGACTACCATCCAGCTGGACAAGTCACTAGACTTTGTCCGTAACCTAGAATGTCTTCGCCCCGCCGATGTTGGATACCGCGATGAGTTTGAGAGGGTACGGATAAATGTTTTCAACGAGGAGTGCGCCGGAGGTTCCTACACATGGAGCCCTGCCCACTACGAGAGTGGAGAAGCTGGGGCCTGCCATGTCAGGACGCGCGACGGGAAGAAGATGGAACCTTCACAAGTCCGGGACTCCGTTTTGAGACGGGCCAAAGCCTATATGCGTCACGTCAACGTCAAGTACCTGTGGATCGATAAAGAGTGCATCGTGCAGGACAGCAGCGAGGAAAAGGAAAAGGCATTTCATGCGATGGACTTGGTGTACCGGTTCGTTAGCCATCCTTTTGGCCTGCTTGCTAGACCCATCGAAACTCGAGCTGATCTGCATCTCCTCGCACGAGTGTTAAAGGGGGAAATGACATACAAGAGTAGGCATAACGGCATGTATTATTTAAAGAAAGGAGTTACTATGGCATCTGCATGGGAAGCCATCCAACTTCTGGAGGCGATCACTTCCGATAGTTGGTGGACTAGGGCTTGGATATATCAGGAAAACTATTGTGCAGGGACAAGGATGCGGCTGCTTATACCTCATAGTGAAGGGTTGGAAAACCTAAAAGCCGAGTATGGCGAATTATTTGATAACTTGAAAGAGGAGTTGATTATTAAATCAACCCAGTTTTCCGAGGCAGCAACAATACTCTGTTTAGCCTTTATTGCATGTTCATCTCTAAAGGACTCGGAAAAACAGGTTGCGCGTCAGGTATTATCAGTAGCAGGGAGATACTCGATACTCCTGCCAAAGCAATGTTCTATGTCACCGACCGTCATCACGGATGTCGGCAACAGACGCGTAAAGGAACCTATGAATCGTCTGGCTATAGTCGCCAACTGCTGTTCATACCAGCGCTTTATCGAGCAAGCGACGAAATGAGTGCTAGTTGTTGACTCAAGGGATGCAAGTAGTTGACAGGTTCTGAACGAGTGTGCTTGTAAGAGAGAAAATGGCTTATCGAGTAGTACTTGTAAGTTGCGTGATTTTACCTCTTGCCTAGTTGTTTGCCGATAGTGGTGGTCTATTGTTTCTAGAATGCGAGATGCCTAGACACTGTTTATCAGGTTGTCTCAACATGGTTCCCGACGGTTGAGACAACGAAACCGGAACCGAGTAATGTATTGCTGCCCAAGTGATGCATCTAACGAGATGAACTAGGCTGGCTATCTACGGCATGAAGTAGGGGATTTGAATTGGAGTTCGAATATGTAATATGCCCTGGACAGCTCCAAAGATGCCACACCTGATTCTCGCGTCTACTCAGTCACAGCGAAAAATGCCCAGGTCCCTGCTTTACTTTTGTAAGCACTGCACCTACGGTGCTGGCCCTGGATTAGCTAAGCTGCGGCGGTCCGTGGGCGTGACGACTTTGCCTCGGGCTTCTTCCCGTAGATCGACCATCTACGTCACGTTAGTTAAGTCATGAGGAAGCTAGCGCGAGTGTGAACTCCACGCGGAGTCGGCCCACTTACACAGATATGTACGAGTGAATGCTTCTGTTGTTGATCTCCTTGCGGAGGCCGACCAGGAACACAAGCACCTCTTCGCGCGTCCACTCAAGCCTCCTCGCGAGCGGAGCCATGAAGACGGCTTCTAAGCCGTCGTTCAGGTTTTGGTTGGCCCAATAGGCTATTTCCTTGTGCCGTGTCTCCTTCGGCCAAGGGTTCTGGGGCCACTTAAATTGGGTCATGGTAACGTCGACAAAGCCTGCTTCGATCATGACTGATTTGAGAGTCTTGACGTCGACAAAGGGGCGACCCATGTCCTCAAGTGCCCCCATCAGAACTGGAAGGGCCTTCGCTGTATACGAATCTGGGCCTAGGGTTCCGTCATCGGAAAGAGGCATGGCGTCCCACTCGTTGAGCTCAAGATATCCGCCGGGGTTGAGATTACTACCGAGGGTTGTAAGAAAAGGAATTACAGCCACAGAATAGGGATGAATCAATTATGGGCTTACTCGTAGCATCTCTTGATATATTCGCCCCAGTCGGCGACACAAGCATTCATCATTCGGCTGTGAATGTAGTCAAAAGGTCTCGAGTAGGTCCAAGGCTCCTCGAGATCGTCGATTTCGAACTTCACGTTTGGAGGGGTGCTGTTCGTACATCATCAGCATCTTTGTCTGCCGGGTCGAGGGAAGGGAGAGGCGGTACAATTCAGGTTGAATAGCGGAGAGGTCGATACCAAGAACCTGCAACCGGCGAGTAAGTTATCTGATATCAAGATTGATGCGAGGCCTTTGCCAACCTCAGCTTCCGGATGCTCCTCGCCAAAGTCGATGGCCCAGATGCCGGTTCCAGTGCCCACATCGAGGACCCTCCCCACTTTCCTGCCCGGCTCGTGGATTGGGGCTGTTCCAAGCTTGTCGTCGTAGGTGAGTAAGAACAGGTGGTGTTGCATGTCTATGTGGTGATTAATATTTCTTCACTACTACGACATCCAATGAGGCAAACTTACCAAGCCTGTCGGTCTCTCTTTCGTCATTTGGGATGGTGTACTCTGCACGGATTCCTTCAGCGACGCGTCCCAAGGGATTGAGTAATTGAAGGCTTACTTCCGTCCTTGTACCTGTGGTAGGTTCTGCCGTTCTCGATTCTGTAGTCGAGGATGGAGCTAGAGACGCTTGTGCTGGATGAAGCAATGCTTTGCTGCGGTTGTTGGTTCAGTCCCGCTAAAGAACAGCCAGGAAAGCAATTACTTACAACTCCGACTTCCGATCTGTCGTCCTGCTTGTGGACTTGAGCAACTATTCTAGAAAGAAATGAAGCGAACGCCAACCTCATCATCAACCTCGAGCGTGACAACGTGGTCGGGCACGTTGGCAGCCTGGGTGTTCGCTGCTGCTGCTGCTGCTGCTGGTGCGTCGGACATCTTGAGTGGGTCGGTCTGGGCGGCTGAGAAGTTGGGGTTGGCTTTCTTGGCTGCCAGTGAAACGTAAACGCTTTTCCAGCAAGCCAGCTGTCTGTGTTGGATGATTGACTGCAGACTATGGGGTTTTTATGTTCGAGCAGCCAAGCAACCCCTCTTCTCTTCAACCCACGTCGCATGCATGCCTGCAGGAAGCGGACTGTTCATCCACATTGTCCCAGAAAGGACAATGTTCCTTTCTGCGTGTGACGAGCATCCTCGTACTGCAGCGAATGGGGTCTGGGAATGGCAGGGTAATCGTACGACGGCGGCATGTGTGGTTCGCTGTGAGTGGTTTCCATGTCGTCGGGTTCGTGGCAGGGAGACAACAACGACGAGTTGCTGCCCCGGAACAGTCGCCGCTGATTTCTGGCCCAATCGCTAAGACCCGCAGACAACGCGGAACTGCAGGCTACAGGTCCGTTGCATGATGTGGACCCCGGCCGGGCAGTGACTAGGCTCGGATTCTGCAAAACACCCACTATAAGCGGGCCGGAAAAGGAAAACAGGCCCGGAAGCGAGTCCGGATCCGCGAGATCATTGGAAGAAAAGATTGCGGTTATTCTATTGCGACAGATCTATCTGAATGCGCGATTCTATCGCCGTAGTAAAAACCATGGTCGAGTAGACCAAGACCAGCAATCCATCCTATCCATCCTCTCTAGCCACATTGGTAAACAGGCGTCTCGGTTGCCCAATAGGCGTACAAGTTCTTGTTCCCCTTTCGGTCAACCTTGACCTAGGTATTATTCGCAGGCGATTCTAGTAAAATCGGCCATACAAATGGCGGAAGGTGGTCCGGGCGTTGGAGCAGAATCGGTTGGACTCGGGACGGAGCTGTGATTGGGTAGTGTTTAACCCCAAGTGGAGACTCAGGCTTAGGGTTACATTAGGCCAATCTGTAGAAAAGGGGTAATTCAGTAGTAAAAGATGAGAAGAAAGATAATGTCATAAGAGTGTGTATGAGGCAGTCAACATTGAGGATAATTGAATGAGTGTATATATTGATCAATCCATCATGATGATGATGATGATGATAGAAAAAGTCGGTGTGTTCTCGCTGGAATCCGACATCGGAATATTCGGAGATATAGGTGTTATATGCATACTTTGGATATGCAATCCTTGTGCCTGACATATCCATATTCGGATAGCCTTATCTGACA